TGAAAATAGAGGAAAGCAGTGTCGCCGGGATGCGTTATTTTTTTATGCGGCACAGATTGGGGCTTTTTTTTAAAAAGGGGTCTTGATTTACAGACTAATACTGGTCGTGTGCGTACTAAACAGTAAAGGTAGTAGAGGTCTGTTTTTAATACTGTTACATTTAATCCACTACCGCATGGAAAATCATTACATCAACAATTAAAATCAAATTGGAAAACTGAAGAGGAGGCAGCACGTCAATAAGGAGAACATCACAATAATGAGTCAATAAAACTAACTTAAACGAAGAGGAGTGTTATCTAAACACATAGTTCGCGATGGATATACAAACTTCTTCGCAATGCTAGCTAACATGACTAGTCTCACCTAAGTGCAGACACTATTCAGAAGGGAAAGAACGTACTTCCCATAGGTTTAACACGCGCCATACCCCAATCTGTGCCGCATAAAAAAAATAACGCCGCCGGGATAGGGGGGGGGGGGGAAGCAAAAAAAGAAAATAGGCAACATTTGTGGTTACCTCTTTATTTTTAATTTTTTTTTTTTTGGCAGGGCTCGGGGCCAATTAGATACATATATATATACATCTAGCTAGGTTTACGAAAGGTCCTTGGTTTACGGTCAGCTGGGATGACGATCGTAGTAAAAAATCGGTGTTGTGACAAAATTAATATAGAAATTAAAATTGGAATTTACATTGCATGTACCTTAAAGTGAAGATAGGGATGTAAGTTTGTATACCTAGTGTTTTTTTATTTTTACTTTTCCCTTTTGTTGATTTATTTTTATTCAATACATCATTGTAATTATTTTTTCCCATTTCCTATAAATTACCTTCTATCTTTACGTCTCCCGATTTCTTTTTTTCTTGAAATCGATTTTTTTTTCCCCCTCTCTTTTCCATCACCTACTTCATCTGCACCCACTAATTTTGTTATTCCATCTCTTATAAATGATGATTTAAAAAAAAAAATGTTTTATTAAAAAATTCTCAATAATTTATAAATAATAAAACCTAACTTTTATAATATCTATTTTTCGGAATTTCATTGAAATTAGGGTGGGTGTGCATCTAAAACAAAAGAGAGAAGGTCATAGATCATTAGAGAGTGGGAGGGAGAAAAACTGAGTGAGAGAGGAATTGGAGAGAAAAAGGATGCAAGAAATGATGGATGTTGAAAGATGAGGTGTTGAAATTATAATTTTATCTTTTTGTAAATATATATGAGAAGTTAAAATATTTCTTAAATCCTTTTTAAATGGTCCGTATGTTCCAATACACATGGCATAGCTCTTTAACAACGACATTAAATAATCACAGATTTATTATGACATTTCCCCCCCCCCCCCCCAAGTATGTCCCGAGTGGCGCTCTCAGAACAAAGGCGCGTAACAAAGTTAAATACATGAATATACGCGGTGTTTTGGAACTTTGGTGTTGATTGACATGACGCCTCATTTTAGATAGACAATCAGCCTATACCGTGCGTCCCAGAAAACACGAAACCGAGAATTGCCAATGTTTTATCATAACTTAATCACAATTAACATTAATAAATGAAACATATTTGTAGATCAGTGTAGGTCCACGATTAGAGAGAGAGAGAGATAACAAAACAAAAATTGGGGGGGGGGGGGACAAACATCCATAGAGAGAGAGAGGAAGATAAGAAAGGAGACATTGGTGATTCGAGATAGATTATCAAGAGAGAGAGAGAGATTAAAGGTGTAGTACCCAAATTACTGCCCACCTACCTGACCCATGCCCTGACCAGGGCAAGGAAGTGGTTGAATTGTTATGTTCCTTCTAATGATGTCGCTTGAATCCACATTGTCTTTGAAGAAATGATTCACCTACCTGAATAAATGTATACTGCGTCACTTCATCATCAGCCCATCACATCATCATGTTAGTATCAACATCATCATTATTTTTAAATGCGCAAATCTGATTTGTTGAATGAAACGCTTACAAAAAAGATATTAAAATAAAGCGTCTTTACTTACAATCGATTGCAACTATTTGTGCTACTTGGCCCAGCTCTATTATCATCACCATCGCTTTTCTTTATCATCATCGCGGCGAATATGCCAACTGTCACATATTCATGAGCTAGAAAAAATATTTATCTCCGTAACATACAACTGCTTTTCAGGACTAATAGTTTGTATTGGATATTGCTACATTGATAGCAAACTATTCATAATTGCATGCATATCATTATATTGGTATTGTATATGGGATATAATGTACAAACTGTACATCCAAATGAAGACTAAAGGATGACGAGGATGGTGTGCGATTCTGGTGAGGAACCAAAGGAGAAGAGGGCATAGACTGTAAAATTTATACAGAACTTGGTGGAAACAGGTAGGTAATTGATATTGTTCTCGAAGTATTCATCATAAAAATACATTCACTACTAATCGTAGTCGTAAATATTGGCTTGATTGAGGCAGTGAGGGATCTTAGCCTTGGTTATCCCACCCCTAGGAATCACGGGCGGTTCGTGGCTTGACGTTTCTTGGTTGGAGTGGCAGGTAGTGTCTTGGTGCAGGGGGAGGATAATGATTAATTGTCTGCAAGAGGTAACTTGTGGAAACACTTACGTATGATTGGGCGGGCGGGGGGATTGGGGTAGCAGTAGTGTCTCAGGATAATGATCAATTATATGCTACCGGTAGCTTGTGAAAAAAACTTACTTACTTTATTGATTGCAAGACAATAAAGCCATAAACACCCTCGTATATATATATATATATATATACATATTTTACAGATAAGAGAAATTAAAAACGAAAAACAAACATGTGGGTTATAAAGGGCCATAGATCATTGTGGAAGTAGACTACCGGTACTAGTATTCCTCACTTCATACCTAATTTATGCATAGTTTTATTAGTTAAAAACAAAACGGGATTTTAAATCAGAACAAAGCATGCATAAAAAAGTAGTAGAGCCTACAAACACCAGTCATTTTTCAGAAAATCCGTTGTGAAAAACAAGGAAAGAACTCGAAATAGCATTAATTATTTTTGAGACTGAATATCATCATAATAATCAAGTGACAAAGAAACAAGATAAAATGAACACCAGCAAGCTAAACTGAAAACACGAGCAATGCTCGAAATGCGTCTGAAAAGCATGCAGGGCAACAAAATAAAAACATGTCAAACTATAACTGCAACAACAATTATAACAACACCAACAACAGCGAGGCCGTAGCGCTGACGGTCTACACCGCCATAGATCTCCCGTTCCGCCCACGTCAATTTGCCTATTACGCTCGGCTAGCTCCTCCCCTTCTCTAAAGCAGTCGCTATGCGGAAGTAGCGTTCCGCTAGCTACTGTGCGACGTGCTGGTAAAAAAAAGTGTGACATAAAAAGACAGATATTGGAGGCATTTCCGCTGAAAAATTAACCAGGTTTTGAGGGATATATCTCGGGAATGAAGCAATTGTAAGTCATGAAAATTGACATATATCATTTGGATGGACATTTCTGAATTTTTGTGTTTAAAAATAGTGAATTCACAGGAAAATCGCTAAGTTAAAAAGATCGTTCTTCGTGATTGTATTCGACCACGTTGTGAGCAAGTTTCCCACGCTGCTATACACTGCTCTCTAAATATTCTTTGATATTGCCGACTTGTTGTAGCTTCTTGTAAAGAGACGTACGTCTCTGCGAAATTTACCAGACCCTGTTTGCTTTCAACTGTAATGTTTGGGACATTCCTGGCGCACTCGAAAAATTCCATACCCGTTAATGAACTTCCTAACGGGTATGGGACATTTAACGGCAAGGGGACATTTAACGGCAAGGGGACATTTAACGGCAAGGGGACATTTAACGGCAAGGAGACATTTAACGGCAAGGGGACATTTAACGGCAAGGGGACATTTAACGGCAAGGAGACATTTAACGGCAAGGGGACATTTAACGGCAAGGGGACATTTAACGGCAACTACAGAACCGACCCGTTAGTAACGCGTTATTTATAACGTTAGCGTTAAACGCGTTAAATCGTATAGTTTATTTTGACTCATACTGTATATTATTATTAAGTATTTGGCATCACTTGTGCCTGGGAGGCGAAAAGCGAACTGAATCACTGTAACCCTCGGGTCTCTCCTCCCGAAATAACTGATTGGGGGTGTGCAGGTGGACCACTACACCGGGGTTTCCCCCTACTCGTATAGGAATAGTGTAGTGGGTTCTTAAGGTGCAAAGGTGGTGACTCTCCTCTACACGGGGCCTCCATTTAATGTCTTATCCGATATCCGGTATTACTACTTCCATCTTGACTATCCCATCAGCATTGTTTTCCATTACCAATACTAAGGCTGCGACAAGTAGTCGAATACTCGAGTACTTGCATTGTTGACAACTACTTGGCCGCCATTTTTTTTTTTTCCCCCCGTACACCTGGCACTGTCCAGGCCGACGCTTAGCCGTGCCCAGCGGCCGGGAGAGCGTCGGTATGGTACCGTGGGTAAAAATGTTTCCCAGCTCAATCACTGTCAACTCAACACTCAGAAAATGGGACTAAATGTCTGGATTTCTGTTTAGACTCGGAGGAAAATGGATTAGTTTGTCATCTTTGTTTTTTAAAACAGCATTGTTTACTATTATTAATATTATTTAATTGGCGCCTTCAACTGCAAATCGAAGTAAAGTTGTGTAATTTTTTGAGGACGGACCTGGGATACTGCTGCAGTTGTATGGTGGTGGCAACAAAGAAACAAAAAAAACATGGCGTCCGAGTATTAGAGTATTTGCCTGGAAGCCTGGGAGTGTACTCCAGTACCTCATTACACGGTTATGCACAGCCTTAACCAATACCATCTCAACCACTACCACCACCACCATTAGTATGGCAGCCACCACTGCTGCCAAAACCATCGCCATCCCTGACACCACTACAATATAACCTCAACCATCATTACCATATGTTTCATTCATTGGCTTTAGTTTATATGAATCTGAAAGAACTACTCACTTCTTCTCCTGCCAGGTACATCATATCCGTATCCCAGCTCAGAGCCATCCTGGGGTTGACCCGATACACTATGCACATCTCTGGTGTTAACTCCCTCATCTTCATGGCTTTCGAGAGACAATATTTGAGGGTGGTTCCAGACTTGGCTAGTACCTGCATCAGGAAAGAAAATGTTAGCAAAGTAGCATGATTGTTCAATTTTTTTGACTGACTGAATTATTGGGTTGCAGAAAAAGCAGTAGAAGGAGATGGGGAAAGTAGAGGACAAAATAAATAATTGAAATGAAAAGAGAAGAAAATAATATTTAAAGGACAAATGAGAGACAAAAGAAATAAGGTATACTGATTCCAGAAAACAAGGTTCCGTCCATATATATTGCAACCTAACAACCATGCAAGTAAATGGCTAAATTTTATTAAAAACTATGTCATTAATAGTGTACACTACATTTTCTATGCTGATCCTTGATGCATGTTGTATTGCGGGATCTTTCATATTCAGATTATTTTGTTTTCTTCCAAATCCAAATATCAACAACAAATAGCAATGTACAGTGGATGAATGGAAGCGAGAAAATTAATCTCCTCATAAGTTTATAAACACAGTTCCATAACTAATGTATTCTCTAACCATACATAATTATATGCACACAATGAGTTTTCTCTATTGCATTAAAAAAAAAAACATATGACGTTCATAATTCATGCAGTATATGGATGCATAGATGATGTAGAGTGTTGAAGTCCTTCAGCACTTACTGGCTACATCCATGTATCTAAGATTTGTGTGACAGACTGATTATCATGAATTGACATCACAGCTGAAAATGAGCCCTAGATTTGAATGTCACTTGGTGTTAGCTTGATGGCTCCCTGAGTGAGATCTCACAACTATAGGTCACACACACTGGCCCAGTTCACATGCCAAATCTAGTCTTAAAGGCATCGTTTAACAATGTTAAATCTGAGATGCACGGCCCTACGTGTTATCAGTGTTTGTGATATGGTGTAATATTGAAGCCCTAAAAAGGTTCCGCTTCAAAATGATCAAGAAGTGCCTCAAAAAAGTAAAAATCTTTGAGTGACCGGTTTTACCATACTCGTTTTCCCCAATAGACTGTAGTGTTATGAAAACCGTTAGGAAAACGCACAATTTGGTTTCAATTTCTAATCATAAATATCTTGATAATCAGACATATCGGCTTGTAAAAGTCATGGGATTCCTGACTGACCTAAATGTTTATTATTATCATTGCAGCATGAGCTAAATCCAGGGTTTTGTTTCGGAATCTGAGACAAAGTTACCTAATCCCTTTAAAACCATCTAGGAAATTATTTTTAAAAATGTGAAATAATCTCTGGCACGCAAAGTGCACTACTGGGGCAGCCATATGCACATCACTACTGGTTCGAATTGAAAAAGATGTCAGAGAAATGTAGGTCACACAGAAAAAGATTTCTATCAGAGAGTTCAGTCTTATATCAGTCTTCAATTGTACCAATATTGAATAATGTATAAGATTTCAAATTTTTTGGATTACTTTTTGCTAAAATGACAAACAATAATAAAACAACACATTCTTTACATGTGAAGATGAAAATGTAAAATATTTAAACTGTATGACAAAGAGTAAATGCTATAGTTTCTAAACCCAAATATTTGAGCTGTATTCCTATGCATGTGTTTTGAATCTGGTATGGCAGTAAGAAGCAAAGAATATAATGGTACTTCCAATGAAAATGCAAGCCTACATGTATTTTAAACAACCAACTTATATTTTCCTCTTTAAACAAAAATCTTATTCTTGGTGACATGGAGCTACCTTACAGCTAGCACAGACTGAGTAGCTCCATATGTAGTGCAATGTAGAGAAATTTGACAGGAAAGGAGGCACATAAATAATCCTGAGCTTTTAATAACCCAAGAATCTAGTTCGCTAGACTACCAGGACTTTCTAGGAAGCCCGTCATCAAGAAACTCAACCTAAATAATCACAAGATGATGAACACAATTTGATCTTCACAACTAACACCAATAGAGTCACATCTCGGGTGATAAATTACAGACGGGGCATTACATGAGGTATCGGGTTACTATCCAGGGGTATCAAGTCTGGCGTATTGAGGATCAATTTGCTTATCTTCCATGGTGTTTCGGTTTCAGATTCAAGTACAGATTTAAGAGAGGTGAAAGATGGGTTGATTCCCTAGTAAAAATGTGTTCAGTTTGGGGCTACTGTTCTGCCAGAATGCAATGGCTTTATACACAATATCTGTAACGATTAGATGCTGGTCACCATTATCCATTATATCCTACATTTTGGACAAACCACACTTCACTAATATTTTTTTCTTTTTTAAAGAGAAGTACATTGCATGGAAAGCTACTCATATTTAAAAATTAAAAGTTTGCTTGAAAAGTGTGAACACATATTCTAAAAAATAGACTTGCATGCCCCGCAGTCAAGCTTTTGACCTAAATGCGAGAAAGAAAGTACAAACTTCTATGTAATTTTCAAGGGACCTAAAACCATACATCCTATCTGAGGGACCAACTAATTGAAGGCAAATGCCGTACCAACAGAAAGCACAGTACTAATTTTTAATTTTGTTTCCAAATCCACTATTCTAAATGACATAGAAATTGTCCACTCTAGGTTTAGACATTTTCTAAATTAAACCTTGAAGGAACATTGAAGTGTTGAGCAACCCAATATATTTTCTAATCTGAACTCATCAAAATGAAATCAAACAAAACCCAATACTCATGTACTGTAGATGCACGTTCCTTGAATTTCAACTCTTTATTACACCACCAGCCACAACCAGACTTTGATGCGAGTATCTGGTAATCCCAGGGCAATGCCATAACACAATGTATTGATAAAGTGCTATGCAATATATCAGCATACATGTAGAGAGATGCAATATTTATGTCTCAATGCTGAACTTGAGGGGAGGTACATTATTCATAAAAGCTTCACAGTAAACAAAAGAAAATGTCTTCTGTACAGATGTTATGAAGAGAAATAAGCAAATTTCAACGGCCCTCGAAATATTATATCTTCCTTCTACCTGACAGAAAACTTTAAAATATTTGCTATATCATCTATATTATCTTTCTTTATGCATGAGACACTGGTGTATTTGGTTCTACATTATTTTTGTCATTTCCTCTAAAGTATAACAATAACTCTTATGAATCTCACATTATGAATACAGGATAGCAACATGGAACTCTTTGGTGATTGGTATACATTAAATTAATGCAAATGTAGGAATATGGTTCCACTCTTGAAATTACGATTACAAAAATAGTCTCAAGAAGGCTTGAATCCAGCAACTGTGCGAGTGAGTGAGAAGCTGCAGTGGGTTAACATACTTCATGAATAATTCATAAGAGGAGGCAGGCAACCCTGGATGACTGGAATACAATCCTCACGCACTACCCTGGGACATCAAATGAAAGGGTAGTCTGGTTACCGAGACACATTCTACTCATTACTATGTGACTCAGCACATTTCAGTATGTGGTTGGTTGGGTTTCCATGTTTAACCATGGGTAGGTACATTTAATACCAAAGGGAAGTTTACATGATACATTTAAGCGAATTTAAACAAATGTTAGACTTAAAGAGGTAGGAAAGTTATTAATATGATACTAATAATGATTTCAGCATGATAATTGACCATTTCGATTCACATCACTTTCTGGAGTCTAGGTCTTTTTACGAGTATGTCATTTTGTTTTCTTCATCAAATATTCCAATCACATGGTAGCCTGAAAGTCTTTTCATCACGCTCACCATTTTTATGATTAATTCAATTTAATTAATTAATAATCATTTAGATATAATACTAGAAATCATGACTGAAAATAGAAAAGTAATCATGCATCCGGTACTACCTTATGCACCCAACACTACCTTCATCAAAAGAGGTATATGGTGGCAACTAGCACAAAAGAAGAAGGAACAAAGATAGAAAAGAGAATAGCAGTGATGTTGGATACACTCCACAACCATTGGAAGAGATCTGATATACAGAAACCACACCGTAATCATACATAATCCTCTTTTTGTGTGAGCTAGTTGTTATGCCTATGATAAGGCCTATGATGATTACCTATAATTTAGCATGACCTGAATATGATGAGCTGTCACGATGAAACAATGACAAAGCTAGTGCTATGGAGACTGAAATAGTGTGATACCTAGTAAAAGAATCAACCATTCGCTAATGTCTAGTTAGATATTGCCTAATTTATCTTTCTCAGCAGTACGGCGGTTACCATAGCCGCAAATACCTAGCACGTTTCCATCAGCACAGGACCGGGATCGCCATGTGTGCATGGTGTCTTTATTTCGAGTGCAATTTGAGCAATTTAGTGGCGGGTTGTGACTGCCAACAGCTATCTAATAAGTTGTGCACCACAGGCGATGTTTGACTAACCCTACGGAGACGGAGGGAGTGGGAAGGTCTGGTGCTCCGTCACATGCACTCTCACCCCCTCTCTCCCGCAGTCCTATATTATGACAACTTAACAAATTGCTTCAGCGATACACAAAGGAATAATCAAATCTCAGACATGCCTGGGACTGGGATAGGGACAGACCTGGTAACAAGGGAAAATAAAAAAAGGGGAAAGAAAAGAGAGAGAGAGAGAGAGAGAGAGAGAGAGAGAGAGAGAGAGAAGAGAGACAATCACCAAAGATTGAACCATTGCCATCTCATCTCAGCCAGCACATTAGCACAACATAAGGAGTTTGAGAAGCGTGACAAGTTTTCTGATAGAGGTGTCGTTTCAATATAGTTATCCCTGGTTTTTTCTAAATCTCTAATATCGTACTGCACTTTGTAAATGAAGACATCCAGGGTTGGTAGATGCAGGGGCGAAGAGAGCTCTTTACTCTGAGAGATTACAAAATCAGAAATGTTTAATTTTTGTATAAAATGTAAAACCAGAGAATTTTAAGGACATGGACAGTTGTTTTGGCAGCAGTAAATGTTTGTGACTTACAAATACCTCATGTTGTGATTCAATGTAATTCTAATGTTTTGTGGCATGAAAGACTAGTGAATGTCGACCACTCACAAAAGTTTTGTGCACTTGAAGCTTTCCTGTTTTACATTATTTTGCAGACGATGTACTTGAACATTTCCGAAAGCTAGCCTTAGATCTATCCTCCTCAATGACAGAATAAACAGGTGAACTGAACTATGATTACTTTTCCAATGCTGACCCCTCCCCCTCCCCTGCTCCTTCCCCACCCAAGGTTTCTGTCTGGGAACTTACCGATGTTCTCTGCTGATTTGGCAAGAAAGCCCTAACTGACTGGCTAAGCGGTGACTTTGGATGTTGCTGATTTGTGAATTCCCTCTTGTGGGGTGGAGCTAGGCTCTGTTTGTTATGGTAGGGTACGTGGAGATCTGCTGGTTCTGGAGGGGGTGTGGTCTGAAGGTTTGGTGAGGTGTGCCCATTACTCATCTCATTGTTAATCCTCTGTTCTTCAACCTGTAACTCACTCAGTTGATCCGTCAGGTCTTGGTATTCCTAGGATTAGGAATAATAAAGAGAGAGACCAACCACAACCATGGTTATGCTAATAATCTCATCACAAAACATATAGCAAAAATCATATCAATTCATAATCAATTCATATTCTTCAAGCGCAGTGGTAGAACTGCAACCACATATCTGACAAAGTTACACTCATCTGATATGTACAAAATTCTACATATACATGTGTATCTTTTGTGCATAAATTAACTTCATATGGGAGTTTTTTTGGCAAGTAAAAAAAGCGTAAAACTCAAAGACAGTATTATATGTCTTGAAATACAGCTAATGTATTAACAAACAAATCCAACTCTGCTTTGAAAAGACAAACATATCAGTGACCCAAATTATAACCAAGATTGCTTTTGACAGAATTTTGATAATTTCTTTATCAATCTAGGAGGTAACAATTACATAAATCACGTACAATAAACCTTTGAATTGTTAAAGTGTAATTGATTTTTACACCAGGCTGACCAGTACATTTAATCCAATACATCACTACAAAGTGGACACAGAGTTGCTAGAAGATATCTGTCGGTCGGTCTCTCCTTCTCTTCCCTTACTGCGTCATCGGATGCTGCCCATGACGCAATGGGATCAGCCCCCTTGCCCTCGTGACACTGCCTGGCATGCCAGACAAGCGCCAGGGAGACCACATGACTTAATAATGTACGCTACCACATATAGGATATCGTGGGTGCACATATCCATTTTAGACTCCTTTTTCTCATGGGATGGCTCAGACAGCGCCAGTGCCCTTTTCCGAAAAATGTCGAGTAATAGAATTATTAATCTATATTTGTATAAACATACAGCTAAATTTATACACATGAGCAGGTATAATATCAATTTCTCTTTGTATTTTCTTTTATAGCATCATACATTCATTTCTATCATTACCAGCAAAATAAACTGTATTTCATGAACTTGAAAAGTTATCATTGTTTGAAAGGTTTGTTTTATTTCTTAAACACACACCCCGCCCCCCCCCCCCCCCCCATGGGGGCATGTATTTCTGTCAATAAAACTTATGTTTACTTAATTTATTTATTATTCAATAATGCCTCCAGCAGAATGCTGAGAAAATAATAATTTGAGGCTTGGAACGAAGCAAGTCATTTCAGAGAATTGCTGATACCGCTGGCAATTACGGTAAATTGAGCCCCAGGAAAGACTGCTCATAAATCTTTACGCTGGACTCTTTCTCTGTAAAGGTTCAGTTTCACCAGCTTTATTTCTCTGAAATCCAGCGCCATGATAGGCATTATATTCATGCAAGTAAAGGCTAATGTATTGAACAAAAGTACATGCAACTTGTAAGAAAAGGGTCAGTACTACATCATCTGTTATGTTCACCTCAGAAGAGTGTTTTGGATTGTAAACAAATAATATGAACAGAAGTCACTGACAAAATTGCCAGCTTCCCATCTGAACCCCTCCCCCCTCCCCTACCCCTTGGTGACCTGGTTTAATCAAAGAACACTTGGAAAGTTCACCCAATGTAGTAGAACTATATTCATAAATGTTCAATGGTCAAAATTATTGTATCAGATATTTCCAGGTTGGCATCAGACTCTTTTCCAGTTCTTCTGGCCATTGACTTTTAGAGGTTGGATTATAGCAAACTTGCAGACAAAAGTTTGCTGACATGAAGAGAATCAGATGAGGAGAAGATGATTATAAACCGAAGCTGAAGTGGTTCTTATCTAGGTCATAACTTCTTACTCAACAATACACCTTTATGGTTAGAAACCATACAAACTTATTTGTAATGCTGTCCAGACAGCTTTCGAAAGCAATACACAAACAAGACTGTGTGATCAGGTGATATGAAGTCTCTGCAAAAGTTTTCAGAAATGACTGAAATATCTTCATCCTTTGCTTGTCTGTATTAATTGTGTCCAATAAAATATTCTTTTGAGATACTTGGCCTTTATTACCTCCAGAATACAGTTCACAGGTTTACTTTCTCTATTGCCTGAAATGGCGTAAAAGCTTGCCAAAGACTTGCTGAATGAGAAGGCTTTCTTTCAAAGCAATCCAATCATTGCATCGTGATGTTTGGACTGTAGTGAACATGTCGGCCTACATGTACACAAAGCAAAATCTAATGTACGGTACCTGCACCCAAGACTACTGAAGTACAATAACTGGTATCGGGTCAATGGAGTGGATACATACTTTGGGAAAGATTAGTTTTATGTACAATTTGAAAACATTTGGAAACTAGTCTAAAGCCATCCAAGACCAGTTTAACATCAATGAACATGTACATTTTCAAAACTTATTTCAAACCTCTATAAATAAACACAAATGTTCTTTCTCTACAAATGAAAATAAGGAATACACCAATATATTATTGCATCCCTGTTAACACTTTGTTTCAGAGAAAAAAATGTGTCTTTCTTTCACATAAAATTGTTACGTCAGTGCTACAGACCACAAACTCAAAAGCATCTCTCCCTCTCTGGCATGAACTGGTCTAAATTTGACTCTCAAAATGAACCCCTGGCATTGTTAGCATACCAGAACTTACTCCGTTGTGCAACGCAATCTAACATACCTGAGTTAAACATTTCTTAGTACCCTATTAAATACTGCTAGTTTAGATTCGTTAGATGGACTGACCCAGTCTGAGGCTATTGTCAAATGATTTAATAAGAAACATTTCTAGATGCAATCACAACCAATCTATAGGCCTTTGTGCATGTTTTAACCCTATGGAAGTACACACTGAATTTGCGACACAAACTTGGAGTGCAGTTTTCAAGGAGGCAGAGGGGCCAATAATATATCTGATGACGCGATCATACTGTAAATAAAAAAGCATATGCCTTATTTAAAAGTCCTTATTGGAAAGTAGATATATTATGAAAAGTCAAATTCAGTTTATTTTAAGACTTATCTTTCTATACCCATTACATACCACTCATTCCTCATTTCAATATTAAGAATATCAGCAAAGGCTGCAATACTTTCCAGTATTCTGAAGGAAAAATATCACTTACATCTACATGTAGACCTTCTTTATAACTTCTGTGGCATCATTAAATTCTGAATTGAGAATAATGTTTACTTACTTCAAAGCATGACTGAATAGACTTTTCCTAGCCCTAGCCAAATTCATTAATATGTGTCATTAGCGTTACATAAGTCATAATTTACTCTCTGGTTTTGTATACATTAGTATCATGTACTAAAATGGGTGACTTTCAATAGAATGAATACACTAAATGTCTGAAGATTTGTCCATACTTTAATCTGTTTACTAACCAAAATGAAGCTATGCATATTTAATATCTCAATTCCATAACTCCCACACAAAGCTGAAACAAGTGACCAGTACAAGATTGATCATTCAATTATAAAAATAAAAAAATTATTTTTGTAGAAAAATAAAAGTCTTACCTCAAGAAATATTGGAGGTGGTGGCTGCTCGGTTCCAAATCTTTCCATCAATTCCTCAATATTCTTCTTTTTCAACTCCATATGCATATGGATGACATTTAACTGTGATACGAATGTGAAAAAAGAGTAAAAGAAAAGGGAAGAAGAATATGATGGAGAAGTAAGAGGGCAGAAGGAGATAGTAAAATGTAGAAAAACAAAATAAGAAAGAATTAACATGAATATCAGTTCAGAATACACCTACTATCACAAACAGAAATATAGTTGATTGCATATATCTTTTAATTTTGTTTGATCAATTCTGAATTTTTGATGAATCATAAATTTGTCTGTCTAAAGCTTGAGAATCAGTTATTGGTATCAACTTTTTATAGTATAGAATGTAAATCAAAGAACAATTCAGATATGAAAATTAATGATCAACACAAATGAAATATACATGGAGACAGGAAAAGGAATTAGAAACATAATATTGCTGCAAATATAAAGAAATACAAGAAGTAGCAAGAAGCAATATCAATGTTTATCAATTTATATAATTTACGATAGTACATGTTTATGATAAATATTTCACAGGATTGCAGTGACTGAGCTGCAGGATTCTGAGATTAGTGTTCTAGATGTATTATTAATTTTGCAAATCATTTCAACAGTTTAAACAGTTTACAGTGGTGTAAGTTATTTTTCACACTCAAATAATGACAGTGTTCCAACACATTATGAGACATAAAACAGATCACGGTATTTACCATTTTATTATTCTCTTTAACATTACTGACAAATATGGACAGGTAAAATTATTCACATTGATCTGAAACCATGCACATTAGTATGCAAATTACGTTTCTCTTCACAGAATATGGCTTCAGCGCGAGTGATCTTTATACTGTAGAAGCGACAGGGTTAATAATAATGGGGGGGGGGGGGAGGCACTTTGATGTAGAAGGTGATATATCGATCACTTATGAGTAACAATTCTGAAAATGTTAACAAATGGAGGAAATGGAACTTTTCCCTGTAAAGGCCCGGTCACACAGAGGGGACGCATGGGGGACGCACGGCCGGCGCATGGAAAATTTGCAATTTTGGCCAGTGCGTTGTCGTGCGCCCAACTTTTGTCGAAGCTATACAGCTAGCTGACACCAAATGCATAGCGCGCTGGACGCATACAGGGCGTATACAGGGCGCACACAGGGCGCACACAGGGCGCACACAGGGCGCACACAGAGCGCACATGAAAACAACTTCCACGAATGCACAGCGTGTTGCTAGCGCGCTGGACGAATGGTCCACGCATGCACCGCGTTCTACGACGCACGGCCAGCGCATTGGAAATCGGAAAAGAACGTGTGCCTAACTTTTGTCATAATTTTGGAAAAGCTAGCGAGCTGACACAAAATGCACGGCGTGTAGCTAGCGCGCTGTGCGTATACAGGGCGTGTGCTCCGCGTTTGTCTGGCGCTGGTCTAGCGCGCTCCACGCATGTCTGGCGCTGGTCTAGCGCGCTCCGGCGCATGTCTGGCGTGCCTTTGGCGTGTATATTCATGCGTCGAGCTCGGCGCACGTTTTTGAGCATGCTCAAAAAATCCCGACGCACACAGCGAATGACGACGCATGCATAGCGCTGGTCCAGCGTTGGTCCAGCGCGCTCGACGAACGAGTAACGAATGATGACGCACGCCTAGCGAACGACAACGCACTGGCCCAAATTGCAAATTTCCAATGCGCTGGCCGTGCGTTCCCCATGCGTCCTCCCTGTGTGACCGGGCCTTAAGCTAAACAAAAATAAAGATGTTTGATAATATATGGTGTCATGTGTGCCTGTTGGGAGCATCCTGGTAGTACCACTCATGCACTTTGCCGTCTTACCAGGGTACGGCTATCCTGCTCACAGCATTGTTTCGGCTTGGATCTCTTATTGCAAGGAAGTGACATCTCTTCCTGGTTGTACAACATGGGTTATGACCCCTCAAATAAATACCATGAAATCCCAGATAAGCGTCCTTTTAAACCCTCCAGCACGAGGCTAAATCCACACAAAATATCCAACTTGGTGCTATCCCACTCCAGGTTCAAGGGTGAAAGAGAATCAGAGATTGAGGTCGTGGAACTTTGAGGCAGACCTGGCGATATATCGTACGCTTGCTTGCTTGCTTGCTTGCTGCGATAGAATTAAGTCAAAGGTACATCTGGTCTCTGAGAATGATTGCGTATGTATACATGACCAGTGAGCTAATGATCCTGATTTATGTTATGCTCTCATACTAGTTACTGATGGTATCCATTAATAGCACACATATCAAGGTATAATGTTTCACAACTCATTCTACCCTTACTCAGGTTCATGCAGTTCTCTCTCCCTTTCTTTCTCTATCTCTCACTTCTCTCTCCCACACCCTCTCTCTCTCTCTCTCTCTGTCTCTCGTCATCAATCACCTGCACCCTCTCTCACATTAGCCCCTTATTAAGATTGCCCCTCTTTTTTCTCTTCATTCAAATAATTCAGGCTTGTACTATTTGGCCTATATCATTCCTTCCTCCTTGTCTATCAACTCTTCTCTTTACTTTGTCTCCTATCTACTCATCTCTTCCTCTCTCTCTCTCTCTCTCTCTCTCTCTGAATTTCCTTTCTTCAGTCTCTCATGCCTGCCTGCCTGCCCCTACCTCACATGCCCCCTTTGCATTCCTCTACATAGCTTTGTGCTCACTACCATTTGGCATCGCTCCAAAACGTGGATACAAACGTTTGGCATGGCACGATGGCTTCAGCGAAGTCACCGTCGTCGCCAAAACATACGACCTCTCCCGCTCCGTTCCAGTTATGCAATAGTAATGCTTGTTAATCGGTCAGACAACCGGTCGCCCTCTGTAGGGGAAACTGGCCATTAATTTTTGTTTGCAAAAATAACTTGCAAACAACTGCAACACCCCCGTGTCTGTAAACAAATAATTCATGTTTGCAAGTGCATTATTGAATATGCACTGCATGCAAATTAAGTCACAGTCGGATATGCATGGCTCCACACTAAGTTTTTTGGAAGATGTTCTGCATTGAACCTTTTAGAGGCGGAATTTATGGGCCACATCATGTTTGAATTTTACAATTTTAGGGGTCCGGACTAAGATTTTAGGAATAAATGTGTCCTGGGCGTATTTTAGGTGTCAGCCCCTGGATAATGAACAAGACCGGTCAGGTCAAGTTCATTATCTGGCTCATTGTGACTTTACTGAGTGCATATCACTAATGCACATGCTTTTAAACATGAATCATTTGTTTTATAAAACAGGAAGTACAACGTAAAGTTGAGAAATAGGCAACAAACGCCTAGTGTCGCACAGTCACGGAGGCAGCCATTTGCCTTATTAAATGACATTTGAAACTTTAATCAAACCTGCCTTAGTTGCCACCTCTCTACAGTGGCCAGTTACATGTTTATATTGTTCCCTCTAGGAAGAAATGTGTGTTGTAGGACCTGTCTAGAAAGGCCACCTACAAAAAAAGTACATGTGTCTACAGTTTTCCTGTTTCCGTGTATTTCATAGCATCATTATTTTGCATACATACAGGCATTTGGGAAAGTTTTAGCATGGAAGGCATGGTAAAAAAGAATGATGCATGGTCACGTATGGTCATTTGACCAAATAGACTCCTTGCATTCTAGAACCCATTTTTCATAAAAACTAAATGTTCCATGCCACATGATCTTGGAAATGCAATAAAATGTTTATGATATAGACCAAAGCAATGCTATTCTCTGTAGGTGAACTTAATGCACTTCATCCATAGATTGTCTATAATATATCTCGTAAATGACAGAGCAAAGCAACATATTCTCTGAATTTTTGGTCTATGAACTATGAGATTGTTTTCTCCTTCAAATTTTGGGAGTAGTGCTTAAATCTATTAATCAATTATTGCTGAATTGTTCTTAATCATACAGTACCTCTTTTATACATTTTCAATCTGTAAATTTTAACTACCAATATCACCTTTTTTTTCCCTTCTCTTTTTTTTTGTTGGGGGGGGGGGGGGGGACCTTATCAAATCAAACTATTCTGTTTCTTCAAGAATCCTAGGACATTCAATTCACCATTCAACATTTGAAGGGCACATAATACCATGAGTGAGTCATTGGAGTCATAATACTGAATACAAAATGACTTTTATGTCTGAGCTAGTCAAGCTGCACAATGTTTTGAAAAGGCGGGGCTTAGCTATCATGACCTTTTTATTCTGGGGATTCACATGTCAATCAAAACTTCTATTGTGCCACGGTAGTCAAATTTCGTATTGTGAAAAGATCATGCTGGGAGATATCTACCGTATTCTGAAAAAGTAGCTATAAAATTGTATGCATTATCTTTTCAAATATCAAAGTTGTTTCTCTATAGATACAAATTTAATGATGACTTTTACTTCCTGTAGATCACATACAGGTAGTCAGCACTCTGCACACACATACATTATGGGATGAATGATTCCTTGAGTTAGCGCATCTATGACTGTATTGATCTGTATCAAAAAAAGACTTGCTGTAGTAAAAGGTTAATGGAATAAAATTAAATTGTATCCCCTAACTACCGGTAGACACCACCCACCTTTCTTATGAGCTCTCTCTTCCCACCTCTAATTTCTAGTCTCTGTGTACTAAGACATTGCACAGAAAATCGTCAGAATGCCTGGACGCACGGTTGCCATGGACGTACAGTTGTATGACATCTTTCAGTTTTTACAAGGCTACACTCTATATTTGTAAGAATTTTTAATCCTGGGCAAATCATTAGTTGAGCAAATTAAACAATAACATTTTGAACAAAGCAAGCTCCAGATCATCTGCAAACATACAAAATAAATCTTCACACCATGGGACTTATCTCCAGATACCCATCCTTCTCATTAAAAGTTGATTCTTTAGTAGTTAGCTTAAGCCCAGTATATTTTTATCACTACCCATGAGTTTTAAATTGTTGTTATTCTCCAAACATTGCGCTCTGTTTTTTGTCTCAAGAAAAGCTACCATTAACAATTTAACAACATAAAAAGGATGATCTTTTCAAAAATATAGATAAATACTATACAATACTGCTTTTTTGAATATTAT